GTAACAGAAATAAAAGAACATTGACTTATTTGATTTGAGAGGAGAAATACTATCAGCAATTAAGAAACTTGCTGCCATGTAGACAAAAATGATATGTCTTTTTTATTGTGGTGTATTTTTAAGATTCATTAGCTCACTCATTCAATCAGCTCACATTTAAGGGGACAAAGGCTAAGAAAAGGAGTGGAAAAATCTTATAATGCTTCCTCTACACGTCACAAGTGGAGTTACCTGGACACTCTGTGTGTGTGTGTGTGTTTTGTGTGTGTGTGTGTGTGTATTTGTGTGTGTTTTGTGTGTGTGTGTGTTTTGTGTGTGTGTGTGTGTGTGTGTGTGTGTGTGTACCGAAGTTTGAACTCAGTAAATTCCTCCCTCATTTAGCTTTTTCCACTCAAGGCTAGTGCTTTATCACTTGAGCCACACCTCCACTTCTAGTTTTTTGCTGGTTAATTGGAGATAAAGAGTCCCCTGGACTTTTGTGCCAGGTTGATTTTGAATGGTGATCCTCAGATCTCATCCTCCTGAGTAGCTGGGATTACAGGTGAGCCATCAGGGTCCAGCTCATTGAACACTTGCTAGAGGATTCACATCTTTTGAGATAGAATGCTGTCTGCTTTTTTTAAAATTAAATTTTATGAGAAAGACATAAGCAATTTAAGTATATTTTTCCATTTGAAATAGAATGTGTATGGCCATGAGGAACAGATATTTGGGGTACAGGAGTTGCTAGGAATCAGGAGTCTTGCTTGCAGATGGGGTCACGCCATAATCAGCTCACTGTTGCTAACTACTGAGATTGTCTTGACTATTTTATGTTTTAATTTTTCTTATTCAGAGTTATAAGGGATTTTTTCCTTTTAATTTATAAGAAGGGAAGCTAGCAAACTAATCATAGTTGTAAAATTGAATAGTTTTGCAGATTCACCTCAAAGTCATCTTTGTCAGAGCTGAAGTTGCATCCATTGAGCAAAAAATCTTACATAAAACCATTCAAAGCCAGGCACCTGTGGCTCACACCTGTAATCCTAGCTACTCAGGAGGTTGAGATCTGAGGATCACAGTTCAAAGCCAGCCCAGGCAGGAAATCCATGAGACTCTTATCTCCAATAAACCACCAGAAAACTGGAAGTGGTGCTGTGGTTCAAATGGTAGAGGGTTAGTCTTAAGCTGAAGAACTCAGGGGCAGCACCCAGGCCCAGAGTTCAAACCCCATGACCAACATTTAAAAGCAAAACCAATAAAAAAAATCACTCAAGTTTTTGTTTTCTGATTTTTTAATGTAAAATTACTAGAAAGGCTGGGCTCAAATCTAGTCCCAGCTACTTGGGAAGTAGAGATAGCAGATAACATTTTGAGGTCAGTCTAAGCAAAAAATTAGCAAAGAGCAAATCAGGCATGGTATTTTTCTCCTATAATCCCAGATACATGGAGGTATAAGTAGGAAGGTCATGGTCTGAAGCCAACTCTGGGAAAACTCCATATGAAAACTAATTAAAGCAAACATGGCTAGGGACATGGTTTAAGTGTCACTCCCTTGCCTAGGAAGTCTGAAGCCCTGAGGTCAAACCTCAGCACATCAAAAATTGCAAAATGAAAATGAAAACTCCTACAACTTATTCATATAAAAGATACAATTTTATTCAGGCATAAAAAATAAGTTTCAAGTGAGTACTTCTTGCAATCCTAGCTAATCAGAAGACTGAGATCTGAGAGTCACTATTCAAAGCCAACCCAGACAGGAAAATCCCTGAGACTTTCCTCAAGGTGGTAAAGCACCTAGCTTTGAACAAAAAGAGCTCAGGGATAGCACCTAGGACCTGAGTTCAAGCCCCATAGTGGACAAAATTAATTAATTAATTTCGGCTATCTTGGGTGCTCTAAAAGTCAACAGAAAAAGACAAAAAAAAAAGTACACTGATAATTAACATTCAAAGGCTTCTTGCAGCCTCATCGTGTTGTGTAGAGTAACATTTGCAGCCTGAAACAAAACACTAAATGCGTTATTAGTATCAACCATTTTATTTTTTAGTACAATATAATAAAATTTTTTAATTCAAGACATTTTATAAGTATTCAATATTGACCAGGTAGTTCAGGGTGTTTTTTTTCCTGTGTTTTAATATATAGTATTATCAAACTGAACACATTTTAATTGGTTTACCAAAAAGTTTTCTTATTCCTTATGTAATTTTTACAGTCAATTTTTAAATGTTTTCCTCATTATATCAGGTAAAGCAGAATTTTACCAAAGATGATATTAAATATTAATTTCTAAGTATAATCTTTAATTAAAATGCAAGTTTTGGGGTGTTTTGTTTTGCTTTATTTTGTTGCCAGTCCTGGGGCTTGAACTGAGGGCCTGGGCACTGTCCCTGAGCTTCTTTTGCTCAAGGCTAGCACTCTACCACTTGAGCCACAGTGCCACTTCCAGCAAAAGCTGTTTATGTAGTACTGAGGAATGAAACCCAGGATTTCATGCATGCAAGGCAAGCTATCTACCATTAAACCACCTTCCCAGCCTTAAAATAGAAGTTTTAACTTCAGGGACTCTATCATATATCATTCAACAGTTACAAGTGTTTATCTAACTTATTTAAGTTTCTCAAAACTAATTTACATATATTTAAAAGTTTTGGAAATATTCCAGGTGCCAGTGGCACATACCTTTAATCCTAGCCACTAAGGAAGCTGAGATCGAGGATGGAGGTTTGAAAAGAGCCCACGCAGGAAAGTCCATGAGATTCTTTTTTTTTTTGAGGGGGGGGGTCCAGTTGTGGGGCCTGAACTCTGGGCCTGGGTGCTGTCCCTCAGCTCTTCAGCTCAAGGCTAGTGCTCTACCACTTGAGCCACAGCGCCACTTCCGGCTTTTTTCTTTTTGCTTATGTGTTGCTGAGGAATGGAACCCAGGGCCTCATGCATGCAAGGCAAGTGCTCTACCACTGAGCCACCTTCCCAGTCCCGAGATTCTTATCTCTAATAAATTACCCAAAAGAAAAAGCCAGAAATGGAGCTATGGTTTAAGTGGCATAGCCTGGTAGCTAAAAGTTTATTTTTTTTAAAAAAAAGCTCACGGACAGTGAATTGGCAAAAAGAAAAGTTTGAAAATACAGAGTGACTATGTTGGGAGTTTCCCCTTTTCTTTATAGTTCAGAAAACAGGTAAGAGGGATTAGAACAATTTACCCAAGGACAAACAACTGATAAATGACAGATTCTAGACTAAAACTCAGTATGAACAAGTATGTTTCTGTGTTCAGATATGTTAGTACGTATCTGTAATCTCAGCTACTTAGGAAGCAGAAGCAGGAGGATGTCAAGCTCAGAGCTAGTCACAATAAAGTTAGGAAGATCTTTTCTCTAAAACAAAACACAAATCAAAGGGCTGGGGAAATTGTTCAAGTGATAGAGTGCTTGCCTAATACGTGGGGATGTCTGGAGTCCAGTCTCCCTCCTTAGGTGGAAAGGTGCTGAGTCACAAGTAACTTCAAAGATGTACAAATGGAATTGTCACACAGACACTTGAAAATGCCAGTCTGAAAGGCTCTTGAAAGTCTGTGCTGAAATGTAGGTTGGATTTCCATCAACAGGAGGGTAGTAGGGGAGACAAAGCACTTGGAGAGTCACTGTGAGAATGAAACATGGAGAGGAAAAATGTATGAGTTATGGCCTGAGAAAATGTCCACTTGGGGGTTTGAGGAATCAGAAATATGAGTGAAGAGGGAAAAAAAAACAACAAAACATAAACAAGAAGGTAATGGAGAAAAACGCATAGAACCCATGAAAGCAAAACATGGCTTGAATTGCTTGAGTTTATATTGGACTTTTCTTTTTTTTTTCATTGTGGTAATATCTCAAGGAGGTAGATCAGATATGTCTATAGATACCGAAGCTTAGCTTAACAATGTTAAACCATGTGCCTGTCCCTCAGACGCTTAGTCATTGGGAAAAACCTAGAATCCACCTGTTCCAGCCTCCAAAATCCATTTTCTCTGACTAGTGATCTGCAGAGTACAGAAGACAATCCACTGTGGTGTGGGGAGAAAACATCAAAAACAATGAATCTTATATTGTCACCTCTAAAATTTGTATCTTTGTGTGTATTTTATAATGTGCATCCTATATTTATATTAGGAATGTGTGTATATCATAAATAACTGTATCATTTATAAATTAAGAGGTATATGTCTATTGACAACGAGGCCACTCAAAATTATTAACAGGAGTATCCAATAAAAAATAGGAAATTATTGCTTTGAACAACTATGCAAAACTGCCTTTTTGCCTTGCCTTGTCCCTCAGTCAACAATAAACTAAATTCACTTCATGTGGTCACATTGCCTTTTATTGCAAAACTCGTTTTAATTCACATAAGTAAAAATTTTATTTCATAGGCTCTTTTCATGGCATTGCTTGGTATCCTCACAGAAGCATAGTGAAAGGCACTGAGCATATAGCAAATAGACCTGGATTACAATATCAACTTTTTACCTTCACGATGAGACCAAGTGTCTCAGAGTCATAGTTTTCACATCTATAAAACCAAGACACCATTTACCCCGTACATAGTTTTAAATTCTAGCAGTGGTGTAAGGAAAAAGCTTCACACTGGGCCTGATATGCAGTAGGTAATTTGAAAAATACAGCAGAGAGTAAAATAGCAAAAGTCTATTTGCTGTAGACATCATCTATCTCCCAATAGTCACTCTCCTCTAAAATCAGGTTGCATATACTTTGGCAAAGTTTGGCTAGTGTTGTTCTTAATTCAACTAGGAAATTTATATGAACATGAAGAAAAACTGTTTTCAGAACTATGGAGAACCACTTCCTCCTGCCCCATGCCTTTTACATGGACCCTGGCCAAATGTAAAATGACAGCCTGGGAAACAAGTTGACAAAAATGTTGAGGGTCAAGGATAGACGAAAAGGAGGCTAATACCATTGCCCACAGCTACATCACTTGGTATGTTGAATGTCTCTCTTCTTGTCTGATATTCTCCACAGATTTGTACTCCTGACTTGGTGGTATTCCTGGCTTGTGCCAATCAGAGGCTCAAAGAAAGATTGCTGAAACGTGCAGAACAGCAAGGGCGGCCTGATGACAACCTCAAAGCTACCCAAAGGAGACTAATAAACTTCAAGCAAAACGCTGCTCCATTGGTTAAATACTTCCAGGAGAAGGGGCTCATAATGACAGTAAGTTAGTTTTACTTTCACATGCCCAGTCCAAGAATGATCGTGTTTGTACTTTCTCACTTGTCATGTTTGTATTTTATCACTTAGCTGCTTGACTTTATGAAGTGCCTTTGGGAAGGGCAAAAGAATCATTTTTCAAAAATCAATCATTTGCCCTTTTTTGTTTGTTTGCTTTTTGGTCGGTTGTGGGGCTTGAACTCTGGGCCTGGGCGCTGTCCCTCAGCTCTTCAGTTCAAGGCTAGCACTCTACTACTTGAGCTACATCGCCACTTCTGGTTTTCTGGTGGTTTATTGGAGATAAGAGTTTCACAGAGTTCTGCCCGGGATGGCTTTGAACTGCGATCCTCAGATCTCAGTCTCCTGAGTAGCTAGGATTATAGGCGTGAGCCACCGGCGCCTAGCTCTGACTTGTCTTTATTTAGCCATTATGTTTCTTTTTACGTATTTTATTTTATTTTAGTTGATTTTTATGAAAGATAAAAAATATTTAACCTTGTCTAGAAGTCTATACTTCTCAAGTAAAAAAAAAGAGGTATGTTGAAGTTAACTATTTTGATTATTTTCAGCACTATTTGTCCAGTTCCACAATGTTTCTGCCTTTGAAAATGTTGCAAAATTGATAGACTTCTAAGTAACAGTTGGCCTGCTGTGCTGTTAAATTGTCTTAAGTCTTCTGTATCATAATGTACTACAGAAGTATATTAGATTCTGATTTCCTAATGTCTTGACATGAAGAGGTGACAGTGTATTGAATTAGGAGGAGTTATTTCTTTGCTTATTTGGAAGAGTAAAAATGTTAACATTTTTCTAAATATTCAGTCTGCTTTGTAGTTTATTATATTCAATGACAGATGACCAAGATTACTAGTTAATGCAGTTCTTAGAATCTAGAACAGTAGAGACAAAGGCTGAACTCAATATGTGATTCCCCACAATGTCAAATTTAAATACTAAATCCCAGAGGAGAACAGTAGGATCCCAAGCCATCTGAAGAAAGACCTTTATACAGCACAACACTCAACCCACAGGAGCTCTACAATAGCCAGGCAATGGCAAAGTCTCAACACAGCCTCCTGTCTACTCTTGGCCCTTCCAACAAGATCCATGATTCTTGCTAGTGGGCTGGTAAGTCCCCAAAAGAATCTAGTTTCTAGTTTGAGGCAACAACATCCAACAAACTTTCTATGACCTAACAATTCCTGGGTTAAAATTACTCTCATTAGACAAAGATGCCCTTAGACCTGAAAGAGACCATCATGACATTTGAATACCGAATTTGACAGTCTTGAAATATTCATTACAGTTGCTCATTGGGTCAAAGCTATCATGTCAGAGAGTTGTAAATCTGATCTGAAAAATTGTTCATAATGCTAGAGTTCATTTTTTGGCTTAGAACAGACAGTGAGTAATAGGAAAGATTCAGGAAAAAGAGAGTAAATATTTCTGTGGCTATTTTGGGAATGATTGTGTATTTTTTTCATCAATTACCAATGCTGATTTTTGCATTGTGTTGTGAAAAAGGACTGAACCTCAACTGCAAGGTGAAGAGCCAGAGTTTTAATTGATGTGTGCAAGGCTGAATGGTATCACCAGTGTCTCTCATTACTCCCTGCTTGTCATGTTCGTCATCACTAGCAGAGTAGATTTCCCCAATGAATGCAGAGTGAGGATTGTTAATTTACTAATATTTTGCATGGAGGTGAAATGCCATTGCCTCTAATTGAAAGAGTCAATAACAATGTGGATGACAGCCTGAAACCTCGCTGCTAACACCAAATGAGCTTTAAGATAAATATCTCTAATTACTGGGAGAAAACTTGCCTTGGAAAGTCACCTTTTAGAAAGCAGTGAGCAGAGACAGCTCTGGAGAATATAATTGGGGGAAAAATAATCTGTCAGCAAGGCAAATGCTGCATCCTGGAACCCATGTTCTCTTTCAGAGGTTGGCTCTGACTTCAGTTTTGAAACTGAAATATATTTGGTAGAATGTCATGTTTAAAGATGAGCCAAATAATAAAAATGATCATCCTTACTAATTGCAAGCCTGTTAAGATTTTAATAAGTATATTTTGGTTGCTAGAGCCAACCCCAAGTATATCTTTTTCTCTGTTGTTTCTTCCCTCTTCCTTTTCTTCACCTTATAATTGAATCATTTATTCATTAAGTAAATATTCATTGAAAACCAAGATACTCTGTGAGGCATTCAAAGCTAAATGCACAAAGAGTGAAGATCTTTATTTGTTCACTAATATATTCCAAGCACCGAGAACAGGACTTGTTAAGTCCATAGCAAGTTCCAGCTAAAGGAGGAGCTTGTATTTATAGGGCAAGATGGTAAACAATGAGTTACCACATGTGATGACTACAATTAATTTTTAAGTCCATCAAATGTTCAGGGAGCTCTCATATAAGTTATACACCATGTTAGGGGCCAGAATTCCCTGTAGTGACAGAATGGGGTCCTTCCTTGCCCTCAAGTTGTATAAATCATTTATCTCCAAGCAGACTTCCTAAGGACCATCACATGATGACTCTGCTTGGAGCAGTTGAGAAATTTCATTGAGGTGCTCCTCTTCCCCAGGGCTTTGGAGTCTAAGCTCCACTTGGAATCTCAGCTTTGCTGGCATTTAGAAGTTTCATGATGCCCCGCAGCTGTGAATCCCGAAGCTGGGAATTGCAGAGGATGTCACCTGTCCTGTAATGCTTAGGGGTGCAATGAGAGGATGTGGATAGCATGATAGTGTTTTAAGATGCTCCAGGCAGCCTCACTGCCTGACTCAGATGCTACTCACTGGTTCAGATGCCACCACCTACCTGCAGAGTAGCTACCTCCTCTGTGACTCCCAGTCCTTTCCTGTAAAATGGGTGTAATCACCAATTATACCCATTATGGTTGTGGGAATGAAATGGATGTCAAGTGCTTAATGTGGCATGTAGAGCGTTGCGTGTGTAATGCTAACTTATTTTGTTTGTATTTCTGCCTCTCTATTCCTTCCCCTTTAATGTTATAAAGTTGACCCAGTCATAGGAGTTGCAAACTATATGAAGAAGCTTCTTAATTCATAACCAAGTTTACCAACTGGATCTCTTCAACCAGAAAAAAAGGCAGATTAAAAAATACTAGAATCAGGACTATTTCTTGCCTGCTTACACCAGTTATCCTGGAGAAATGGGCAAGTGACTATAATCAGACCCCCTATTCCTGAATTTCAGGACTTAATAGAAGAGAATAGGAGTTGGAGGCATGGCTCAGTTTGAAGAGTGCTAGCCAATGAGCAAAAGTGGCAGGTGCTGACTTCAAGTTTCAGTCCTGGTCTTGGGCCTAAAAAAAGGAAGGAGGGAAAGGAAAGAAGGGAAGGGAAGGGAAAGGAAAGGAAAGGAAAAAGGAAAGGGAAGGGAAGGAAAGGAAAGGAAAGGGAAAGGAAAGGGTAAGGTCATTCTTTTTTCTTTCTCTCTCTCTCTCTCTCTCTCTCTCTCTCTCTCTCTCTCTCTCTGTGGTCATGGGGCTCGAACTCTGGACCTAGGAGCTGTCCCTGAGCTCTTCAGCTCAAGGCAAATACTTTACCACTTGAATGACAGCACCACTTCTGGTTTTCTGGTGCTTAATTAAAGAGTCTCACAGACTTTCCTTACCCAGGCTGGCTTTGAACTGTGATCCTCAGATCTCAGGCTCCTGAGTAGTATTATAGGCACGAGCCACCAGTGCCCAGCTTCTTCTTCTTGTTATTCATTAAAAGGTGTATTTTAACACACACACACACACACACACACATTCAAGAATGGTTAGTGGATTCTAAATAAAGTTTCTAAACAAATGTTTGGCTTTTACGAAAACTCCCAGCATCTGCTTCATTTGCTTTATTTTTGCCTTGGCAATGGGAACCTTTCATTACCAGCTAGCAACAGTTCTGGGGAGCACAACTAGCAGACACACCCTTGTCCTGCTACACTGTTTATTTCCTCAACACTAACCCTGGGCCTGCAAATCCCAGGTATGCTTTCATTTCTTAATGTGTCCCATAGTACTTCCTTCGAATTTGAGGATCCCCTTGATGACAGTTCAAGTTTATCACTGAAACTATGTTATTCTCCACCCATCAGATACTTTTAACCCCAAGGAAAAATAAACAGGAACATAAACGCTAACTTGGATACACTGCTTGGTAATTATTCATTAACTTTAAGCTTCCTGGGAGTCTGCACTCATATTTAAATTACAAGAACACTTATCCCTAAACTCCCATCAGCTGATCATCATCACCGTCTCTCTAGTACAGTTATAGGGCTGGATGGAAAAGAAAGAGAGTGAGAGTAAGTAAGGCAGTCAGCGGAGGTAGATACAGAGATGATAGAAAGAAAAAGAGAGAAAGAGGAAGGAGGGAAGGAAGGAACAAAGGAAGGAAGGAAGGAAGGAACAAAGGAAGGAAGGAAGGAAAGAAGGAAGGAAGAAAATAAGAAAGCCTAATAACATAAACCCTCTAGAGATTCAGCAGCTACTTGAACCTAAGAAAGGTAACAAAATCTTTTCTAGTTAATACAAAAAAAGTTACTGTTTCTTTTTTTAAAAAGTTGTTACTGTTTCTTAATAGATAAAAGGCTGATGAATTTGCCATCTGTAACAGGTTGAAGACACTTTTTCTGTAAGCACCAAGGCTATTATGTCCTATGTAAATATCCATGGCCACATGTGCCACAGTTATACCACATAGATGATTCTGTTTGTTGAATCTAGTAACTGAGAAAGTGTCTAGGAGGAGTTACTAAAGGCTAATAAGTAGGAAGCACCAGAGAGGCATCCCATAGAATATTTTAGTGAGAACAGTGTATTTTTGCACTAGGTATATGACCCTCTGGCTTTTTCCCAGTGCCTCAAGTATTTTTACATTTAGTAAACAGTACTTTCTAGCATGAAATCTGGTTATGAAAGGGCCTAGAAATCATGCAATCAATTCCTGTTTCCTTGACTTGAATAAAGAGCAAATTATAAGGAATCTCTCTAG